GCATACGATATTCCGTCGAAACTTACGAAGAATAGCTTTAAGAATTGCTCACAAGTGTGAAATATTGTATATATGGAAACAGTGACCTGGGAAAATACAGATGAGGATGGGGGGGGGGGGATAAAAAAATTCAACATCAGTGACTTGCAACAGCAGTGGTGCCATTGTATGCCAAAGCAGAGAGCCCAGTATCGTAACATAAGGTCTGGAAACCTGCCAAGAAGGACTGCTCGAAGACTAAAGTGTCTTGACACTGGGGACCTCTCAACTGGATGTTGGGTCGACCCAATAAAGGGTCGAAGGGCCGCGTTACTTAAAAAAGAAGGTCTCTCTTTTGGGAACTGTTTAAGACCTTTAAAACTGTTTTTTTTTAGAAATGCCTCAAGCAACAATAAGGGCTCTCATCTGTAAAAATTTGTTTGCAGACGAGTTGCTTCTGGAAAGGGTTCACTGGCCAAAGTTGGGGGGGGGGGATTGTCTTTCCATGGATCGAGTTTTCTAAGGAAATGTTCCAAAACACGCCATCTTTTGCATTCTTTCGGTAAAATCAAAGGGATATTGCCCATAAGTTTTTTTTGTTACTTGACTGCTGATTAAATGCAGAGGAAAATTCATTTTTATATTTGTGCAAGTCAAAAATTAGCTATGGTCACTCCAAAAATAAACTTGCCTTGTCATCTGATGTTAGGAACAGATTTGAGTTTTTAAGTGAGAATAGAACTTTTTAGATTTGAATCCTTTTTTAAATAAATCTTTAGACCACAATCAGCTGGGCTTTGGCCTGGGTGCTTTACACCCTAGTATGAGGTTGGTATATTTTGAAAATAAACACAAAGATTTGACAACAGCAATTCAGCAGATCAACAAACACAATAGTCTTTTGTGTGAGAATGACTCAGAGTAACTGATGATAACATATATGCAATCAATCTGGTATTTAAACTTTTTCCTTTTGCAACAAAAACAGGGACTTGTCTTAATAAGGAGGAAGAAATAAAGGGGTTCTTAGGTTTGAGAACACCCTTGAGTTCCAGTTTGAGTCAGTTGTGTCTTAAGACCTACATAAGTCTTTAATGACAATCACCGTCCATTCTAATCTGTCTAGGATTCTATTACCTGTTTTCTAATTTCCAACAATCTGATGAGTTAATTACAACTTAACAAAGGCTATAGTTTTTTTAAAATTGTAAATTAAGACTTGTTTATTTTACCCGGTTTTTTACGGTTTCCGTAGAAACTATACGTTTTATGCATTCTCAATAAAAAATTACGACTCTACAGTTACAGTGGATTACATGATTAAGTACTCACGTTTGCAAATGCATTCAATAAAATAATTTACTATAATGCTTCTGCATGTATAATGATCATTTTTCAAACCCTTTTTTTTTTCTGCGTGATGAAAATTTCGCGAACATTTTTTTTTGATGACCTTCAATTTCAGTGGCTGATTTTATCAACATCCGCGTCGCATTCCGAGAATTATTTTCTAGAAAAAATACTAATCATCATCCTGTGTTTTATTTTAATGTTGAATTCATGTGACAAGAATGTAATATGCAATTTTTCCGGTATCTCATGTAGATTGCACACTTTCAAAATTTGCAGACAGCTTTCTTTCCTCACTTATACATCATGGTGATTATTTATTAAAGTATTATATTTCTCAGGGCTTTGTTATTGGAAAAATAGGATCTCAACGTGACTTAGAGAAAGAAATAATGGCACAGACACAATTTACTTAGTTTATTGTGAGATAATATCACAGAATCACGGGATATTCATTGGTTTATAGACAAAATTTCGAGAGCAAAGCTTACACAGTTGCAGAATCGACTACAGTATGTAAGAATATGAATGAATGAATGAACATAAAGCTTTATTTTCCGCTCTTCAGAGTTCACAAAGTTCAATCAACATTCCCACATCCAAACATATATATTTTATGTAAGAATATACAAGTGATCGCCACCTTTTGGCTAACCCAACGTTATTCTTTCAAATCTTTTTCGTGATTCAGCTTGTCAAGTCATAATAAAGCATAAATTCGCCTGACAAAAGCAATCCGAAACATAGAACATGCTGCTTAATAGGAATGCGTATAAGAGGACCATATGCAGGATAACAATATAGGACGCACTCAATAACCTTCTTCACGTGAGTTCGTCATTATTGCATGAGACCCCGTCTTTCATTGCGTGTGAGGTCCCGGATTCCATTCTATCAGATGAGATCGCAGTTTTTCACTGTCGCTGTTGTCATGCGGGGAAGCTGACAGCAGGTCACCAAGAGGGAACATACTTCGTTTCAAAGAGCGGAGTTCAAGCCATACACAGAGCTCAGCTGCTGCCGTCAAACATAAATTCAAGAAACTCATGCGGATAATAATATGAAACTGCATGCATGGAAGCTGAGTTGGCAGAGGGAATTCGGAATTGGATGCTTCTCAGGATTTCAATACTTTAAAATCTCATTACAACAAATACCATCACTACAGCAATTTTTTTGTAAAAGAACAAACTTTTTCTCCAGTCCCAGCAGCAAGCTCATACATAATAGATGTTGAAATAATATTCTTACTGCATAACAAAACTTCCCAATTCCAGTATAACAACCTTTTCAGGAATGTTTGGTAGATTCTCCAGCTAGAAATTTCCTAAATAAGGCAGGTAGAGTATGAAATTTCTGATTGCAAATTTGATTAACTCGGTTCTTGTAGAATGGATGGAAGCTGCTGCAATCAATGACAAAAATACTTCCAAGCGGCACCACAAAAAATCCCCTAAGAATGAAGAGTTTTTCACATCATCCTCCCAGAATAATGAGATTTTGTTCAACTGATGAAATGCATGATTGAAGCGAATTTTTTTCTAAGATAGCTCAGTTTTTTTTAATGCAAAATCTTAGAATGTCAGGAATAAAGGCAAGATCTAATTGAATGGAAGCAGATCTGATGTGAAACCTTTTTCAAGTCATTAATTCTGAAAATCATGTCATAACAAATTATTCAGTATGATGTACAGTACCTTTTCGAAGTTTACAAGGAAAGCAAGATTTTACTGTACCGTAGTTGTAAACATTTCTAGTGATGGAGCAGAACTCACCGCTTTTCCAGGTGTGTCTCTGTGGGCGATGAGTTGTGCGATTACTTTGTCTACGTCGAGTGGCTCTTTGGGTCCGGGCGGCGAATGGCCGCCGCCGATGAAGCTCTTCCACATGCCTCACCCGCGAGCCCAAGCCTGCCACAAAGCACGAATCACCCCCGGGGGCTTTTTCGCCGCACCTTCTTATTCCGAGTCAATTGCCAGAGAAAAGCTGAGCGGCTCACCAGCAGCAACCAATTCGCGAAGAACACAGACTCTGTCGTGACTCGTGACTACCGAGAACGCGACTGTTGATTCTTAGACTTGCACTCTGAAACCGTGGCCTTTTTCTTTCCCACTGGACAACAAAATGAAAACAAAAACCCCTGGTGAACGGGTAATGATTATGAGTCACTTATTTTGCATCATGCGCGTGCGAGCCGGGACTCAACGTTTTGAACGCATCAGTGATTATGCAGTGCTCAGCCGTGGCCTGGTTCTTATGGAGTTGCTGCTTCCACACCGAAGATTGAAGAAGGCCATTCAGAATATTCTCATCTTACTATTATACTCAGGTGTCGTTTTCCAGCTCATTATCATGAACTGAATATTCCTAGTTATACTCACTATGACTGCATGAAGCAAAAGACACAGATTCCCGGTTTTCTTCTCGTTTTCATTATTTTGCTGTGATTCCAACTCAATCAGTTCTTCAGATCCAGAATAATGGAAGTAAATTATTTTCCACATTTAAATCCGATAGCGATGTTAAGTAAATCAAGGCACAGTCCCTCGCAGTATAAGAATATTTCATGACACTGTATACTGTACATGCAATAATTTTCGTGTGAAATCATGGATTGGAGTGCATCACCATCTAAACCGCCGATCATTATTGGAATAATGTACTGCATGTGCTTCAACTTTTTCACGCGGTCCAAGATATTCTCGAACTTGGGGCTAGAAACTGTGAAGAGTTTCGATAAAAATCAGGAATGACCTTATCCCCCAAGGTTTAAAGACAATGTTTCGAAGCTTACTACTGTATACCACTTGACCCATCAAGTGATCCTTCATGCGCGCTCATAAAAACGCCTCAGAACTGTCTCACTCATCAGCGGTGGAATCCAGTTACCGTACTCAGTATATGGATAACCCTTCTCGCACTCGAGCTCAAATTCCAGGGCTTCGCGAAACGCGAGAGGATTAGCGTTTTGACGACTGGGGCGAACCATACACTGCCATCCCATCATCTATACTGTACACTTGTACAGTATAGTTACGAAACGCATTTGATAGCATATCTTGACGAACCCACGCGGCTTGCCTCTCCGGTATGTGTAGTACTACACGTCGATCCTGATGGAAGGAGGATAACCCAGAACGGGTCTTCTCCGCCAACCTGGCCGTGACACTGAATCTCGTCAAACTCGTTCCAGCAGATGAGGGGAAAAGAAAAATGTTTCCCGTCATCCGCCGGCGGATGGCGTGTGCGCGCGCGAGGGTGCTTCCATGATTTGCTTCACATTCTCTCATCGTCAGTTCCTTTTCTGTCTTATTTGAAAATGGAATCCGAAAAAAATGGAAAAACGGAAAGTTCACTCCTTTTGAGAGAGGCTTCTTCGTGTCCAGCAGTGCTGGATTATCACCTGGATGCGCATCCGAGTCACGAAGGTGTATAATGGTTTGTGGTTCGATTTCATTATTTGGAATTGGTTATAATTTTACCGAAATTTAAAATTTGATTACTTAATTTTCTTCATTAAAAGTTGCACTTATTTTTTCTCGAAATCGATGGGAAAGAAGAGGTTGCGCGCCATAGGTGGGTCAAAGTTTCAAAAATGTTAGAAGTTCAAGTGCGTGTAACACTTGAATATACTGTATACTGTTATACAGGCGATTTTTAACAGGAACTTTTCAAAATCTCTAAAAATTTTTAAAATTAACTTGATCCAGGTTGAATGTCTGCTCAAATTTTCATTCTGGTGTCTTATTTTTGTAGTACAGTACTGTATTGTAGTTTTCCAGTCATCAGAATTGAGTGCTTGTCTTACACTAACTAGGGGATGGGATTCCATAAAAATTATACGGTGGAAAATTGGCGTGCCTTTCTCACTTGCTTCTACAGTATTTGGAAATAATCAAAAGTGAACACGTGGATTAGTTTGAATCTTCATAACTCACAAAAATCACAATATTGAAACAGATTGTAATAATTTTTAATAAAATACTGTACTGTCTTTCGTGCATAATAATACAAGTTCATGGAGAGAAAGTAAAATATGCTGCGTTATAAATTACATCCGGATATTTTAAAGGCCTCTTGGTATGCTCAGTAAAAATTCCCGAATTCGAAAGAAAATTAAAAGAGGAGGAAATTGGGAAAATTATAAAAAACTTCACTTCGAAATTTCGACGATATTTCTTCTCGATATTCATTTTGGCATTATTTGAGGCGCAGATTTTTTTGGATTGCCCACCTTGCTTGTCAAGGATAGTTTATCGAGACCAGACAGGTTTGCTTCACGCCCGCAGACACCGATTCACGAATGTTGCACTTGCTCCTGAACCGCTTTTTGAGATCCCATCACGAATGTCACATCACAAATATAAATTTTAGAAAAGGCTTCTTAGCTTTGACAACGAAGCGGTTATACATTTTGGCAAATCTGTTTTATGAATGAATGAATGAATGAACAGAAAACTTTATTTGCCGCTTTTCAGCGTTCACAAGGCACAACCAAAACTCCCGCATCCAAACCCCCTCCCCACCCAACTCAACTCCCCCCAGGACATTCAATCACTTCATATCATGAAACAAAGCACAAACCAATGACAAAAACAAAAGAGAACACACTCCACAAAATAAAATAAAACTGGACATCCTACACATATG